GGCCGTGTATTGAAGTGAATATCGATAACACCATGAGCTGAACGTTTGGGAACATAAATGGCATTATCAAAGAATGTGATTTCCCAACAGACCTTGGCGTTGCAGATGGTAACAAAGGATTCCGCTTCAAATCGCTAGCTCGATCGAGGAAAAACGCAACATACCTTTTCCAGGAATCCAACTTGCGCTAGTTAGTACTTGCCTAAGGGCCTAAGGAGCCTGTCAGAGACTTGGAGGGGTAGCGTTTCATCTCCACTGGAGAGGTTATCTACTTAATCTCATATTCCTCATTTACCAACGGCCGCATGGAGCAACGATCTCCAGTCAGATCGCTCCGACACCCCGCCAGGACTATCTCCCTTCAGTTGGTCTGGGTAGGGGAAACTAATAAGACCATTCGGATTTGGGATAGATTATGGAAACAGGGATTAAAGTGAGAAAACTCGTGAACTTTTGGAGGAACACACCAGCAGTCAGACTTCTCAAATCTGGATCGGCTGTATCAATAATTAATGGGGTTTTCTATCAACATGACATCGGATGTGATGTGCACATGAACAAAGGAAATCACTGATACGAGTCATACAAATGGCCCCCCTCTACATGGTTCTGCGGGATTCTTAGGCCATATCAAGGTCGTCCTCACCAAACTAGTGGATGAGATGTTGTTATATGACAGAGGACCGCAGTAGTGGATAAAGACGACGGACATTCTCGTAGTAATAGTACCTGTCTTGATGAAGTCCGAGTCGATGTCAACAAAACTCTGTATTGATGATATCTGGGTTGGCGATATTCCAGACGAACTAACCAACGTTGTATTCGCAAAAAATCCTGGTGTTTCAATTATCGGCCGCCCAACTACATCAGCCGCATCTACACATCGGTCTGGTCCAATTCCTGACCATAACCTATCATACTCCGCCCCCTCGTGAACTTCCGCTTGCAAAGAAGGATCGTGTCGATGAAACCGCGAACGAGAAGGGGAAGGAAAAAGTGGCGGTCATCTAAAATGATTGTTAGTCGACTCTGTAGCAGTTCTCAAAAATTCTACATGTCTACTTACCTGAGGCTGTACTTGTATAATCACAACTGCAACGTAGCAACGATTCATTATCAGTATTACCCGAGCACAACGCCCGACCAAGCAAGGTCCTAGATCACGGTGGACCTCCCAAAGGTAAGAGAAAGACCTACGCACCAGTGACCAAGGACCCTTTCAAGTTTCCACGGCTTTGTCAGCACATGAACCAAGTAGGTTTCACCATATTCATGGCTAGCATGATCACTAGTGTTCCGTGGAAATCCACCTGGTTATCCACTGATGTAGATATCCACCCAGTTATCCACATAGATAACTCGGTGGATAACCCAAGGCCAAAATTCATAGGTGGATAATGTGGATAACTGAAAACCGTGTGGGTGTATGGGGTTGTATTAAATACACTTAAAAAGCTTAAATACCAGGTCTACAAGCTTGTTTCTGCTTGAAGTGAGCTCGAACTAGGATTTAAGCTTGCTTATTTTGGCAGAACTTCATGCGACGTCAAGTTAATGTTTGTTTGGTGACTGGTCGAACATCGACTCGAAAAATGACTGAAAAATTGTGAACTTCAAGTTTTCTCCCTCATCACATGCAGCTGCATCTCAAGGATCGATTAGTTGAGCTTCAACTCTGTCTTGAGGCACTGCCAACAGAGATTCCCATTCCAAAGGAGTCCAAGTACAATTTCTCCAACTTCAGCCCGGATGCTGATTGGACTACAGCAACTCAGAGTTGGATGTCACTGACCCCAAGGATATATCTGAAGATGGCTCAAAAAAAGCGGATTCTTTTGACAGCAAGGCTTTTGATGCTGCCAGTATCATCAATCTTGACTCCACGACGCTAGCTGATGTGCTTGCTGACAAAGATTTGGCACCTGCAGCACCAAAGAACACTGTCACTCTTCTGCTGGCAAGCACTTTGGTGCAAGAGAAGGCCTTGACCAAAGCAGACTGGGACATGACATAGAGTGTAGGATAGATCTAGACTTGTAAATCAAGCTAAATTTTGCAGCACCCGGAATTGCCGGGCCGGTTTTACCGGCAGTGGATATCCACCATACTCACCCGTGGATAACTGACCCTCATTTAGGCCTGGTGGATATCCACAGTGGATAACCCCTCAGAGGGTTATTCACAGAACACTAATGATCACAGCTTGTCGGCTGCCGACCCCTGCTCTAACGGCAATGCCGCCCCCTAGTTTCTCAATAAGAATGAAAAGGGTGACGGTACGTGAGAAAGCAAGGTGGGCCTGACGCAGTGTGAGTCTGACGTGCATCTTATGTCGCTGGAACGCCGGGTTCTGCCAGTGCGGGTGTGTTCAACTCAAACTTGTCTGGTTTGAACGTTCGAGACTAATCAAATGTTATGCTTGCTCATATCCACGATTGTAATCAGATGATGCTACATTGATGCTACGTGTACTCAAATGACAAAGTGCGTGTACCATAACCATCGCAATTACATGCGTCGTCGGTTTAGCACGGCACTTATATCTGCTTAGTCGAGAGTATAAAATCTGAACATTTGATGGCACAACCATCGTTTCTCCACACCCTGAAAGATGACGGACTTCGATGAGCCAGAGGCCAAGCTTGAAGCTCTCTTGAGTCTTGGATATCATCAACTACTATGTACGCCAAGCAATCGCAGAATACAAGAATACCAGACATGAAGTCCCCAGTGCTGATGCAACAGCATTCTACCCCCTCTACCTGATGACAGATACATTTGCCTTCAAAAAGGCAATGAGGCTACTCGAAGGTGCATACCACTAATTGAGCTCAATACTGGCGTCCTCCAACATACGATGATGAATGTGAGTACCGACTGTGAATGATATCTGCTCTGTTGCCAATTTTATTAGTTTGTTTTGAATTAAAACTGTGCGTGCACAGGGATTTCCTTGCAAGCACGCGTTGCAGATGTTCTAGACCAACACCTGGAAGGTCTTAGCGTGGATAAGCTGGCTGAAGCAGTCAACCTCGACGAGATCGAAATTGTACGCGTCTTACGAGCTTTGACCCTCATGGGCTGCTTTAAAGAAGGTAGTACGCATGCTGTCTGCTGACAATCGTCTCTGCAATATGTTGTGCGTTAAACAATTGAGCGAGGCGTCTTTGCAAACAATCGAGTATCTCTCATACTCAAATCATCGAACAACACTGGGTATTATACGCGACTTCATTCTCAGGGTGTCTCAAACGCCGCCCGAGTTTTCTACGATACTATGATCGACTTGCAAGATCACGTGAGGTTGACAATGCACCCCGGCTATTTGGCCTCCAGAAGCGGGTATGAAGGGTAACAACTACAAAGTGATGCAAGACAACGTGAGTTTTCGCCATCACACTCCCCTTCACTACCCTGACACACTTCATAAGAAAGGAAATGTGACGTGTGTACGGGGTCATTTATCCTCGGCTGATGGCTCACAGAATCCAATGTATAGGATTTTCACAGAGCCATGCTTGGCCATAGTGTTATGATGGGCTCTTCTGCAGTGCTACATGATGTCGGATCTGGCATTGGAGCATCTTCCACCCCTTTAGCTGCAATGTTCCTTCACATCAGGATAACCAATCAAGATCTCCCAGAAGTCATGGTATGTGCACAAAATGTGAGCTCAGACATCCAGTGCTCATTAGTATTCCGGCACGCGCATCATTGACACCTGATTGGGCATGGCAGAAAAATTCTCCTGAGACATTCATTGATGGACACATTGACTTCGTGCCAATCAAATTTTTGGAGGACATCTGTTGTTGGAAAGGATGTCTACTATGTAAGGGCCCATTTGTTCGCATTCCTCGCCGATAATTTGATAATCTTACTATATAGCTGAGGAACATTATCCACATGTGGTCGGACGCTGAGGCAGCTGTTGGAAATCAATCCGTCAACATAGTAGTATAGATATTTCTTTTTGTTTGGTGTCGCGTTCACTACCTTCAACGTACTTACTAAATACGGTAACTCCGCTCCAGGTACATTCGCTCGTCTCATTTTTCCCCTTCTTCCCCAGTCTGTTCATACTTGACTGGGGTAAGTCTCACTATATGATACTCACATTCCTTACTGACATAGTACAGGACTTACGAAGTCCTTGTCTCTTTAGACGTGTGACGTCTCTTAGGTTATGAGCCCTGCTTGACGCAGGCACTGATATCGCTACCGAGACCCATCGGACTCTCTTGCACATTGTGAACTCCTGAAATATACCATACCCATTGCATATCACCAAGATCAATATAACATGTGTTTTGAACCATGACTGAAGACCCTCGAGGGCGTGTTGGAATGCTCAGACCCGCTATGTTTGATCAACCAACACATTCACCCGCAAACCTTGGAATCCCAACTATGAACAACTCACGTTTGCCCTCGCGTTTGCGATCTGTCACACCTCACTGTCCAAACATCATTGACGAAAACACATCTGACAAAGATGAGACTCACTTCACACTGAAGAAGTCCATTGACCCATCAAAATTCACCCATCTCCTTCGTCTACGTCCCAAGCTCACATCTACCAACTACTCAACCTGGACAAGCACTGTATACCGTGCACTTGAGACCGTTGGGCTACATGTTTATGTAGACCCAGACTTCACGCAGCCACTACACAGCTTACTCAATGAAAGACACCACCCTGTCCGTTGGAGCAAAGCGAACATGTTCGTCTGCTCAGTCCTCACCTCATGCATGACGGAGGAAGTTATGGCCCAATTAGCACACCTTCAGCACGCCTCCGAAATCTGGACAGATGCGAAATGGCTATACTCGGGTACCACAGCAACAGATTGGACACTCGTCATGGCTTCTCTTGTCACCACCAAATATAATGACGGGGAAGACATCAATGCCCATATAGCAAAGATGAAGGGCTATCGCCGCGATCTCATCCTAATGCGATGGGACATCGATGATGAGTTATTCGCGTGTTTCCTACATATATCCATGCCAGCAGCTTGGAACTATGTGTTTGCAGCTCTCCCTGACCATTACAAATCTGTTGAAGTTGAACGGCGAATCAGGGACGAGTTCGGTGTCCATACAAGCCAATCAGGCGCATCCAGTACCACGTACCAAGCCTCGCATGGAAACAAAGGCCAAAGCAAACTCAGCCATACACCCATACCAGGCCAACCTTTCTGCGAGAACTGCAATATCTCTGGTCATTGGACCAAAGAATGCTACTCAAAAGGTGGTGCGAAGCAAGGTCAGGGACCCCATCGTGACAAGCAGAAGTCGAAGAGAGATAGTAATAAGGGGGACGAGAAGGATGACAAATCCCACAAGGGGAAATACAGGTCGAAGTCAGGCAAGAAAGCCAACCAAGCCGTTGCGGACGAAGATGATGTCAGTGACACCGACGAAGATTCCTCAGACACTGAACACTCATCCTATATCACCAGTCCTCCCTCTCGCTCTCGTTTTGGCTGGATCCTCGATGGGGGATCAACCACTCACATATGCACTGAACAAACAGCCTTTGCTACCTTCACCCCATCAGAGGAGCATATCCAAGGGATCGTGAAAGACAGACCTGTACTCCAAGTCCTTGGACATGGATCAGTACTAGTTAATGTCTCCGTGAAGGGATGTCCTGACCATATCGTCAAATTGACAAATGTCCGATACTGTCCCAATGCCCGTGACAACCTGATGTCAGAAAGCTGTATGGACCGAAAAGGGATGGAGATCATGAAGTGAAATGGGCGACTCACCATTAAGAAACCCAATGGCGAGATTGTGATGGAGGGAAGACTAACCAACAACCTATACGAGATCCATAGTGTCATTGCACCACTCACTGCGAGACACGATATTGCCCTCTCTACCCGTTCAGCACCCAACCTCGAATTATGGCATGCTCGCTTTGCCCATATCAGCCTTGATAACCTCCGCTACCTCACCCGACATAACCTCGTGACAGGTATGGACCTCCGAGGCAATGGTGACCTCCCACCATGCAACGGATGTGCGAAAGGGAAACACCCCCAGGCCCCCTTCCCATCTACTGCAACTCGAGCAAAGAAAACTCTTGATCACATCCATATGGATCTCCAAGGTCCATTCGACAAATCCATTCAAGGCTATCTCTACACCCTCGCCGTTGTCGATGACCATAGTCAAAAAGGGTGGAAGGAATACTTGAAGTCAAAGGACCAAGCCCCAGCCTTCATCAAGGCACTCATCAAACGACTCGAGACATACACTGAACATCATGTCAAGATAGTACACTCTGACCGCGGGGGTGAATTCATCAACTCGACACTGGGAAGTTATTTTGAGCAGAAGGGCATCACACACGAATTTTCAGCCCCTCATACACCTCAGCAAAATGGAGTTGCAGAGCGCTTCAACCGAACCACACACGAACATGCTCTTGCAATGCTCGAAGATGCCAGCATGTCAAAATGCTTCTGGCCCGAAGCACATGAGTATGCAAGCTATGTCCGGAACCAAAGCCCAACCAAAGCACTCTCAAAAATTACCCCCAATGAAGTTTTCCATGGTCATAAACCAGATGTATCTACCCTCCGCATTTTCGGCTCTCGCTGTCATGTCCGAGTCTCTCCCAAGTTTCGGAAGAAGCTCGAGGCTCATTCCATCGACGGTATCCTCTGTGGTTTTGAACGAGGCTCTAAAGCTTACAAGGTCTGGATTCCCTCTAAACACAAATTCATCTCGTCTCGTGATGTCATAGTCTATGAGAAAATCTTCAGCCAATTCAACAATGAACCTGTCCCTACTCCTAATATCTCCACTCCGAGTGAGGGGGTGCCAAAATCGACTACCATTGTTGACTCCCCTACTTGGACCGAGGGGGTGATGGATGGAGATGCCAATCCAACCATGAATGAGACACCAACACTCGTCAAAGAACCCCCAACACTCGCCAAAGAACCCCCAATGCTCGTCAAAGAACCCCCAATGCCTACACCAGCTACTCCACCAGCTCAACCTCGACGTTCAGAGCGTGTCACACGACCATCATGGAAGAAACAAGCAGTGGACACCCAGAAAGCCAAGTCTGAGAGGGAAAAGAATGATCAGAAGGCAAGACGAGAAACTTGAGCCCAAAGGCAATGTAAAAACGACACTGACACACCACTGGTTGAAAATACCACTGTCGGCAAGGTTGCCCAGCTCGCTTATCTCGCAGCCTATGGCCAACGAACCCCAGAACACTTTCGGGCAGCTTCTACCTGCACCGAGTGTTACAATAACGGTACCCCCTATCTCTTTTTCCGTACTCATGTGTATTACGTCATGACCGCACCTGGATGTGCCATCACTAGACCAGCGTCCACATATATTTGTATTACAGCATGACCGCCACGTGCCGTCATTAGCTGACTCATTGCTTATCTCTGACTCGTCTTGATGACGTATATCCCTGACGTCATCGCTTATCTCTGACTCGTCTTGATGACGTATATCCCTGACATCATCGCTTATCTCTGACTCGTCTTGATGACGTATACATACCGGCCCTAAAGTAGGCCATACCTATATAAACCAGGTCCTGTACTTAGATAGACTTCACTTTAATCTACTAGGTTTAACCTGCATTATCCTTCGCTTAGGACCCCCAATCCTAAGTCGTCGTATAACCGATATTCAAGCCAAAGACACTCTCTTCGGCTTGTCTTAAGAACCTTACTTTTGTGAGGACACGATCCAGCTTTAGGCGTACTCTTATCGAGTACCTATCGTCGCGCCCATCCTAGTCGACCTACGGCTTGCCGTAACAAAAGATTAAAGTCCACCACCGACCCTCTTATCAAAAGAGGTTACAAGAACCAGCAGAACTCAGCGAGAGAACGAGAATGTTCCCCTGAACTAAGAAGACATCACTCGACCAGACGCTCAGGATGTCCACTGTCACCAACCCCCCAGAATTGAAGGCCGGAGCTCCGTCCACCTACGACGGGAGCCCTGCTCAAGCGCTACGTTGGCTGTATGCAATAAAAGCATACTTCGCACTTAACGCCACGATCTACAATACCGACGAAAAGAAGGTTATTACCGCTTTAGCATATATGACTGAAGATAGTGCTATGGGTTGGGCACTTACTTTTTACACCGAAGTTGATAACTCCGCCGCTAAATCCTACGGAACTTTCGCGAATTTCGAGACCAAATTCAAGGAAGCCTTCGTACCTGCCGACGCTGTTGGTACCGCCATGAACAAACTTAGGACGTTGAAGCAGACAGGCGATATCACATCCTACATCGCCAGTTTCAAAACCCTCGCTGCACAAGCAGGTGTTAAACAAGACGCCGTCCTAATCACGT